GGTATCTCATGGGGCCCCCTACTGACCCAGTGCCCGAGTGCTCGAATGGTCAGTCCGCCCCTGTATGTATATATAAATATATATATATAGATATATATGTGTGTGTACATGTATGTATATGTGTGTGTATATATATATATATGTGTGTGTATGTATGTATACTGTATATGTGTGTATGTAAATGTATGTATGTATGTTCAATCCAATTGCACTGGAACTCCAACAGTCAAGTCATGTTGCCTGGCTGTGCAGGACTATAGGGGGACCCAAAAACTCAGCGACATCTCTACACCCCCATCTCACCCCCTCGATCTTCTCACAAATCACAAATTTACTAAGCGACATATCAGTATGGATGTCTCACCGTTTTTTTAAACTCAATCTTTCTAAAACAGACCTTGTAATATTTCCTCCTCCTCCATCCCCTCTCATGACTTTACCATTGAGATCAACAGCACAACCATTGGTCCCTCCACGCATGCCAGGGTGCTAGGCGTAATCCTAGACTCTGGCCTCTTCTTTGGGCCCCACATCTGATCACTGGCTAAATCCTGCCGCCTCAACCTCCGAAATATTTCCAGAATTCCTAACTAACAATACCACAAAACTACTTATTAGACATGTGCGGTTTCATTTTGATTTGTTTCTCGGCCAAAAATTTTCATTTTTCAGAAATTCGTGTACAAATCTCCAAAGTCAATGAATAAAAAAAAAAAGTTATAACGAAATTAAGGAATGCCTTCGTTTCATTCATTTAATTCAAATTACGTCACACTATGCCATAGTGGTTCAGACCTATGGGGAAATGGGGAACGCTATCCCCACTCCAGTCGATCCTAAACTCAGCGGTTAGACTCATCCACCTCACCAAGCGCTCCACATCTGCCTCCCCCCCCCTCTGCCAATCCCTTCATTGGCTCCCGATTGCCCAACGCATCAAATTCAAACTGCTAACTCTGACCTACAAAGCCATTCACAATGCTGCCCCGAACTACATAACTGACCTGATACCCAAATACTACCCTACCCGTGCCCTCCGCTCCTCACAGGACCTCCTACTCTCTAGCTCTCTGGTCTCCTCCTCCCATGTCCGATTGCAGGACTTCTCCAGGACTTCCCCCATCCTCTGGCACTCCCTACCCCAATCCACCAGACTGTCACCTACCCTCCTCACCTTCAGGCGCACCCTGAAAACCCTCCTCTTCAGGGAAGCCTACCCCAGCCTCACTTAACACCCGACCTCACCTAACAACTACCCTCCTCCACTCCACCCACCACTCCATCCCCCACAGCCATCTCCTCCTGTACCACCTTCCCCTCCCTCCTAGATTGTAAGCTCGAAAGAGCAGGGCCCTCGAACCCCTCATGTATTGTATTGTTACTGTCTTGTCTCATGTTCTGTCCCCCTTGCTACTGTACAGCGCTGAGCATACCCTTTGGCGCTATATAAATACTATATAATAATAATAATTTTCAAATTAGTTTGATCATTCAGATTCGGATAACGAATAGATCTGAATTTTGTTCCATTTGGTAATTCGGATGCACATGACGCCAGTCGATATTGTCCAATCAGCTCATGCCATTTTTCTTGCTGGGTTAAACTAGCATCTGAAAATATTGAATCCATCTGATTCGATAATATATTGAATATATAGCAATCTTCCAGAAAAACTGGACATTTTTTCGAATCCACCTGGACCAATGAATGTACCTAACAAATGCCAAAAAAAAAAAAATTTGGCCAACATACTGAATATGACAAAATGGAATTCTTCAATGAATAGAGGCATCCAAAATGAAACAAAATTTTCTGACATGCACATGTCTATTGGTTATAACCTGCCTTGGCTACTGCAACTGCCTCCTCACTGGCCAACCTTTACACAGACTATCCCCCCATCAGTCTATCATGAATGCTGCTGCTAGATGCATACACTTTACTATTCCATCCGTAGTTGCTGTCTCTGCCAATCCCTCCACTGGCTTCCACTACTAGCCCAAAGTGTAAAATTTAAAATACTAACTACAACATACAAAACCATCCACAACATCGCCCTCAGCTACATCACCAACCTCAACTCAACAGATTGCCAAAATCATCCTCTCCGCTCCTCCCAAGACCTCCTGCTCTCTGGCTCCCTTGTTACCTTCTCCCATGCTCACATCCAGGACTTCTCTCCAGAACCTCTCACCCTCTGGAACTCCCCATCCCAGTATGTCCAATCAACTCCTACTCCTTCCACCTTTAGGTGTGTGGGGAGATGCAGCAGTGAACACACGCAGCCCATTTGCAATAAAACTCAACTTGTAATGAACAGAATGGCTTAGTTACAAACATCCTAGCGGGAGAGTGGCACTTAAGGGAACAGCCCCAGTTCAATGTGATAAAAGACGTGGCTGATGAGAAGTGCTGACAGCGTCTGTTTCAGAGGGAGAAGTATGGCCTGGCCTGTCTGTTCCCAAGTAGGGTGGCTTCTTTCCAGGTGGCAAGTCCCAATCCTGTACTTTCTCGTCTAGAACTCTTCCCTACCGCTAGCTACTTTCCTTAACGCATGGGGTCTCTCTCCCTATACTAGCCACTCGCAAAATGTGCACCAAAACCCGAGGAAAGGGACTTATATAGACCCTACTGACCCAAGGCGGCTGCCAAGGATCACATGGCTGAACCGGGACGCTGCTCCATTGACACAGGAAACCATAGAGTAACTATGTTTCATTTTGACTCCCTGCCCAGGCTGTGGTACCGCTCCGGTGGAGCGCCACCTACAGTGGAGAAAACGGACTGCACCTGCCTACAGGCAAGTCTTGAAAACTATTTTTTTCAGGGAAGAATACACCATCTCCACCTAAAAACTGTACTTCGGACACTTCCATCAGATCGTCCCCCAGCTAAAACCTTTTGTACCACCTCCCCCTCTCTTTAGATTGTAAGCTCCATGAGCAGGGCCCTCCTATTCCTTCTGTACTGAATTGTATTGTAATTGTAATGTCTCCCTTATATTGTAAAGCAAAGCAAACTGTTGGCGCTATATAAATCCTGTATAATAATAATAATAATAAATGGTAATTATTCACCGCTAAGCATTACCTTATATGCTAAATAGGTATAAATCAGACAATGTTGTCTAGACTGAGCTCTGCCTAACCCACGGAAAAAACCAACAGGGTGACATCTGCATAAACCAATACTGCATTGGAACACATTGTTCCAGATATATTTCAAGGGATAATAAAGCACAAAGATCTTTAAAAGTCATAATAAAACAAATGTCACTGAGCAGTTGGTTAATAATAAATAATCCAGGACATTGTTAAAAACAAAAATGATAAATCATTGAAAGGGACATACATCTTCTGAGCCTGCTCACAGGCAGGTCTGTTTATAGCAGAGGAAAGATTAGATTGAAGAACACATTTGAAAGATTAACTTTTTTTTTGAGAAGTTATAACCTTAAAATCTCTAGCCCCCCCAGTGTCCACTCATTCAGCTACACTGGAAGGAACGTTTACACAAACCCTAAGGCTATGTTCACACTAGCTTTGTTAGCAGGTGTTAGACAAGCTTCTGGGAAGCGTTTTTAACGAAAAATTTAAATTCTACACATGGCAGCACACAGTGCTGTTCACATTGAAGCGTTAACGTCGCGTCGTGTCAAAATTGATGCCTCATGTCCAGTCAGGAGGAGTTGAACCCTCCCGTTTAAGGCTATGGTGACGCTCCTCAAACGCCTGACAGGCATTTGTGGAGCGATAATACCATTAAACTTCATTGTAGGCGTTTGTGGTGCGGTTTTAACACTTGGCAAAAGCCTATCAAAAACACTCAGGGAATTTGGGGAGCGTTTGGGGAGCGTATGAGGAGCGTTAAAAACTCTTCCAAAATGCCTGTATAGCGCCTGTCAAACGCTATAGGGGCGTTTGGCAAGCGTTAGAATTTAGTCATGTTTGAATGAGCCCTAAGGCTTCATGTACACAAGCAGCTCCCGGCATTTTTTTTGCCAATGCTCCTAAACTCAACTCCATAAAAGCCTGTGTCCATGTACACATAGGCTGTTAGCAGAGTTTAGGAGCTGCTGCATTTAGGTGAGGTTAAATCTCCCTCTCCTGAACGCGGAAGAACGCTGGGCACAGGTGGGCGGAACTGGTGAGTGGCACTGCTGGGCACCGATCATCAGGGCACTGATGATCGGTGCCCTGATGATCGGTGCCGATCCCTGCTCTGACAACTGCTGGTTCTCGGCAGTACTTTCCTCACGCTCTGACAGCGTGAGGAAAGTGCAGCCGAGAACCGGCAATTGCATTTCCCGGTGATCAGCGTGTCATTGGACACAGCTGATCACGTAGTAAAAGGCCGCTGTGATTGGCCTTTTAACACATCACGTGATCAGCTGTGTCCGTAGGACGCATCGTTCATGGAGATCGCCGGTTGCGCGCCTCTGTGGGAGCGTGTTCTTGGAGGACGTCATATGACGCCCTCCCAGAACTGGCCGGCTGCACTGCAGCCGTCATTCGGCTACCTGCGGTCGGCAACTGGTTAAACTTGCTAGTATAGCTAACACTCCCCTCCCCCAAACTGACAAAGCTGCTGTGCAGCCTGTGCTCCTTCGTCCAGAGTGGTGTCTGTATAATACAGTAGGTGTGTTATTGGTCAGATTGGGGTTTAATACTGCTTTAAGGCCTCATGCACACTTGAGCTCAAAGATGCTTGGTTTACAGGCGTTTGATGGGGGGGTTCTGGCTTTACATGCCCCTCCATGTTAACCTATGTGTCAACGCTCACATAGGCAGTTACAGGAGTTTAGACACAGGAACCATTAGAGGTAGAAAAAAAAAAATCACTGGTGCATTCAAGAAGGGGGGTTTTGTCTGAAAACCACCAAAATCACTTAGTGTTACTAAACCCTGGACCCTCCATCCACTATATCTGGTCTCCCCCCGGACCCTGCATCCACTATATCTGGTCTCCCCGGGCCCTGCATTCACTATATTTGGTCTCCCCGGACCCTGCATTCACTATATCTGGTCTCCCTGGACCCTGCATTCACTATATCTGGTCTCCCCTGACCCTGCAACCACTATATCTGGTCTCCCAGGACCCTACATTCACTATATCTGGTCTCCCCGGACCCGGCACTCACTATATCCGGTCTCCCCGGACCCTGCATTTACTCTATCTGGTCCCCAGGACCCTGAATTCACTATATCTGGTCTCCCCGGATCCTGCATTCACTATATGTGGTCTCCCCGGGCCCTGCATTCTCTATATATCTGATCTCTCCAGACCCTGCATTTACTATATTTGGTCTCCCCGGACCCTGCATCCACTATATCTGGTCTCCCCCGGACCCTGCATTCACTATATCTGGTCTCCCCGGACCCCGCATCCACTATATCCGGTCTCCCCGGACCCTGCATTCACTATATCTGGTCTCCCAGGACCCTGAATTCACTATATCTGGTCTCCCCGGATCCTGCATTCACTATATGTGGTCTCCCCGGGCCCTGCATTCTCTATATCTGATCTCTCCAGACCCTGAATTTACTATATTTGGTCTCCCCGGACCCTGCATCCACTATATCTGGTCTCCCCGGACCCCGCATCCACTATATCCGGTCTCCCCGGACCCTGCATTCACTATATCTGGTCTCCCAGGACCCTGCATTCACTATATGTGGTCTCCCCCGGATCCTGCATTCACTATATATGGTCTCCCAGGACCCTGCATTCACTATATCTGGTCTCCCAGGACCCTGCGTTCACTATATGTGGTCTCCCCGGATCCTGCATTCACTATATCTGGTTTCCCAGGACCCTGCATTCACTATATCTGGTCTCCTCTGACCCTGCAACCACTATATCTGGTCTCCTCGGACCCTGCAACCACTATATCTGGTCTCCCAGGACCTTGCAGCCACTATATCTGATCTCCCCGGACCCTGCACTCACTATATCTGGTCTCCCCGGACCCTGCATTCACTATATCTGGTCTCCCAGGACCCTGCATCCACTATATCTGGTCTCCCCAGACCCTGCATTCACTATATCTGGTCTCCCAGGACCCTGCATTCACTATATCTGGTCTCCCAGGACCCTGCATTCACTATATCTGGTCTCACCAGACCCTGCATCCACTATATCTGGTCTCCCCGGACCCTGAATCCACTATATTTGGTCTCCCAAGACCCTGAGTTCACTATATCTGGTCTCCCAGGACCCTGAATTCACTATATCTGGTCTCCCCGGATCCTGCATTCACTATATGTGGTCTCCCCGGGCCCTGCATTCTCTATATCTGATCTCTCCGGACCCTGCATTTACTATATTTGGTCTCCCCGGACCCTGCATTCACTATATCTGGTCTCCCCGGACCCTGCATTCTCTATATCTGGTCTCCCCGGACCCTGCATTTACTATATTTGGTCTCCCCGGACCCTGCATTCACTATATCTGGTCTCCCAGGACCCTGCATCCACTATATCTGGTCTCCCCGGACCCTGCATCCACTATATCTGGTCTCCCAGGACCCTGCATCCACTATATCTGATCTCCCAGGACCCTACATTGACTATATCCGGTCTCCCCAGGTCCTGCATTCACTATATCCGGTCTCCCCCCGGGTCCTGCATTCACTATATCCGGTCTCCCCCGGGTCCTGCATTCACTATATCTGGTCCCCCCGGACCCTGCATTCACTATATCCAGTCTACCCGGACCCTGCATTCACTATATCTGGTCTCCCCGGACCCTGCATTCACTATATCCAGTCTCCCCGGACCCTGCATTCACTATATCCGCTCTCCCACAGTACACAGAACATGGAAATGCAATTATTATAGTAAATATAATCTGCTAAATACTTTTTTTCATCAGCAGAGCAATCTTGTGACTTTTATCTGTTTTTAGCAGAGCACTGGTTAAAGCTTGTAGGAATATGCAGAACCCCTGACCTCTGTCTGGACAGTGCTGATCACATGACTCTCCCAAGAAAAAATTACCTCTTTAGTAATACATAGCAAACTGAGCATGTGCAGCTTGCCTCAGAGCCTCTGTTCTATCAGGAGATATTTAGTAGACCCTGGAAGAAGGGGAGGATCAGAGAAGTCAGGATCATTCTTTTTAAACATTCTTTTTACACAATGCAGAGGATTAACCCCTTAGGTTCCACAGTGAGTATAACAAGCATGCTTTACTGCATATACAGACTAAATTTACTGTTGTGGGTTTAGTAAAACTTTAACTGCTTCCTCGCCTCCCTATAGCAGAAATACTGCTACAGGGCGGCAGGGGTGCACAAAATTTTGTATATATATATGATTTTGTATTTCCGGGTAGGGGGTATGCACCCTACCTGCGCCGCCCTTTGCAGCTGTGGCTGTCAATCACTGGGTCCCAGCCAGTGATTACCCACTGGCGCCCGGTGATTACCAAGGATCTCCAGCGGGGAGGAGGGCTGCTTTGTTTATTAACAGCCCTTCTCTCTGTCGGCTCGGGCACACTGCTCTGAATGCACAGCCATCCAGAGCAGTGTGCTTACAGTGAACCAACACACAGCCCCTGGTAAAACACTCCCCTCACACAGTTAACCCTTTGAGCGCCCCTCATGTTAACCCCTTCCTGCTCAGTGCCATTAGTACAGTGTCAGTGCTTTTTTTTTAGCACCGATCACTGTATTGGTGTCACTGAGGATGTCAACGACACCAAGTCAGTTCCCCCCCAGTGTCAGAATGCCCGCCGCAGTCCTGCTATAAGTTGATGATCGCCACCATTACTAGTAAAAAAAATAATTCCAGTATATATACCGCCATTTGTAAATGCTAGAACTTTCATGTAAACCAATTAATTTACACATATTGGGATTTTTTTTGTTTAGCAAAGACATGTAGCAGAATACATTTTGGCCTAAATTTATGACGAAATTGATTTTTTAAATTTTTTCACTGGACATGTTTAATAGCAAAAAGTCCAAAATATTGTTTTTTTCTCAAAATTGTCAGCCTTTGTTTGTTTTTATAGCGCAAAAAAAAAATTTTTTATAGTCAAAAAAAGTCCAAAAACGCTGCTTTGCTGCAATTTACTGCGTTTTTCAGTGTTATAGCTTTTTTACAGATAAAAAACTCCTCTAGCTACCTACTAGTCCTGGATTGTTTTTCCAGCCAGAAAACGCTGGGGGGTTTACTGGCTATAGAAAAAAATGTCAAACGCCAAAAACATCCGTTGTAAAAACGTCCGGTGTGCATGAGGACTATAAAGCGCTTTCTATTGCTGGAAGACATAGCACAGCTTATGTGAATGGAGGAGGGGGTGGAAAGGGTGGCCATAGTCGGTTCTCTCGATGACTTCCTGCTGCTGCTTTCTTGGTTGAAATCTTCCTTTCCCTGAAGATACCAGCCCTGGATAGCGTTGCCATGGAATCTGCCAAAGATAGACTCTTACCTTCATAGAATGCATCAAGATAAAAAATATTTAGAACCACTTTAAATTCAGATCATTCATTTAGTTATCATTTATTTTGGATTTGTTGAAATTCATTACTATTACGAACTGTTCCCAAGCTGACAGGGAGGAGAAATGTTACTAAACAAAACAGTCCTCCTCCCCGTCGGAGATGCTCGGTAATCACCGGGCGCAGGCGTGTAATCACCGGCCGGGACCCGGTGATTGACAGCCACGGCCGTGAATGGTGGTGTGCGCGCCCCCTACCCTGAAGTGCAAAGTCATGTATATATATATATATGTACTACTTTGGTCATAGTGAAATATGAACTAAAAATCTTAAAAAAAAGAAAAAAAAAATTTAATAAAAAATAATTAAAAAAAAAATATATATATATATATTTTTTTTTTCATACTGTCACCAGTCAGTGTCCCTGATCACCGCCATGCCAGTTATATGATGACGCTGTACTGCACTGGTGACAGTATGTAAAAAAAAAAAAAAATAGTGAAACTAATTTTTTTTCATTTTTTCATTTTCCGAAAAATTATGACAAAAAAAAATACAACTTCAAAAAACTCTCCATGCCTCTTATGAAGTACGTCGGACTGTCTTCTTTGCAAAAAGGGGTCATTTGGGGGATATCTGTACTGTTCTGACATTCTTGGACCTCAAGAAATTAGATTGGCTGTCAGTACTTCAGGATTGATCAATATTCAGATCTATCCCATAGTTTGTGAACTCTATAACTTTCCTACAGACTAAATAATACATCCTAATTTGGGTTATTTTCACCAAAGACATGTAGCAGAATACATCTCGGCCTAAATTTTTGAAGAACAATTATTTATTTTCAAACTTTTATAACAGAAACAAAGAAAAACGTGTGTTTTTTTTCAAAAGTTTTGGTCTTTATTTGTTAATTTAGCAAAAAATAAAAACCCCAGCGGTGATTAAATACCACCAAAAGAAAGCTCTAGTTGTGTGAACAAAATGATAAAATTTTAGTTTGGGTACAGTGTTGTATGACCGCGCAATTGTCATTCAAAGTGTGAGAGTGCTGAAACCTGAAAAATGGCCTGGGCAGGAAGGTGTAAAATTGCCCGGTATTGAATTGGTTAAGTAACGCAGCACTGTACTGCAAAAAAATGGCCTGGTCAGGAAGGGGGGTAAATCCTCTGGAGGGCAAGTGGCACATGACAGGATTAGCTCTGACAGATGGTGGGTGTCTGCCTGGTTTCCGGACCCCTGTACTTTTTATATATCCACAGGATCAGTGGGTCAGACCCAAAAAGCTCACCAAAACAGACCCGGCAAAACAGACCCACCTTATCACAAGAAAATGGCCTGGTCAAGAAGGGCGGCAAATCCTTTGGAGGGCAAGTGGTTAACCTCCTCGGCGGTCTGATTATTTCCGATTTTTTTTGCTGAAAGCGGTACCATTTTTTTGCGTGGAAATATGTCGTTTTTTATTGTAGGCTGTAATTTTTAGGAATAACTCACTGAAATCTGTCCGAACAAGAGTCTAGTAAACATCCCGGGTATGATAAAATTTGAAACACTAAATCATAAATTATAATTTAATAAATAATCATAAAAAATAATAATATAATAATAATAATACATTTAATTCAATATATAATCAAACCAAAAACACTGAAATCTGAAATATAGCTCCAAGTTCGCACATCACTGAGCAAAGTCGCAGAATCGTTTTCAGTGTCTGATGACAAATTTCCCCCATGAATCATTATCACTCAATTCTGCAAGTGGTTCTGATTTACTATCGCTGTTCTCTAGCCGGTCTAATACCGCTTTTGACGTAATGGGACGCTTTTTGGACACCATGGACTTTTCTAAGTTTCCAGGCAGAAAGAACAGTCAAAATGTAGGCAGGGCGCCGGACAAAGCACTCGGGACAAAATGTATGTGAAATGCATTGAAACAGCAATGTTATACTATATAATAATCATTTTTAAAAAAATGACATTTTTTAAAAATTTCAAATTTGCCGCCGGTTCCGGCGTCCGTACGTCCCGCCGTCATAGGGACCGGAACACGGAAGCCGGATGCCGGCATCGGCCGGAGGAGATGGCCGGGGACGCTGCAGGGGACACATCGTGGGAGCGAAGGACAAGGTAAGTGCTGCAGGGACTCCCTGAGCAATGCCGCATGGTAAGCCCGAGTGTAGCTCGGGGTTACCGCTTTTGGTACTGAAACTTTACCCCGAGCTACACTCGGGAATACCGCTAAGGAGGTTAAAGTATAACTAAAGGCAAAACTTTGTTTTAGTTTTGGATAGAGTGGAGAGGGATTAGAACCCCGGTCAAATGTTTATTGCTGTCTGTGTCCCTGTTAGAGAGATTCCCCATCTCTGTTTGTCCAGTTTACCATTATTATTGAAAGTAAAAGAAAATCCCAAATTTTAGGTTGTCCCCAGAAAAGTAAAGGGAAATCTTCCAATGGTCACTCGTTCTGGTGTTTTATTAGGAAAGCAGAAGGACTGGCGGGAACAGCAGGGATTTCACACAGAGGAAGCAATACAAAGAGAACGGGAGACTCTTTCATCCAAGTACATGGTACAGGAGGTACATATCAAGAATAGGAAATGTTGGGTTGACATATTCTTTAACCCCTTCATGACGACTCACCTGGACTGGGTTATTTTCCGTGGGGCCGCTAATTTGCGTACCTATCTTTGCGCTGGGAGTGCGTCGCACTCCTAGCACAGAGACTGGGGACTCACTGAGGGCCCAGGTTCCCGTAGTAATGATCGGGACCTGGAACTCCCGATTCCAGGTCACCTGATCGCTGTGATAGCCTCTGATTGGCACAGAATGAAGCACATTCCCTTGTTTTCTCTCTCAGAATGGAGGAGATACATTGTGTCTCTCTGTCTTTTTAGAGAAAAAAAAAAAGAGGCCAGGGTTAGTGTTTGGTTCAAGGTCAGGGTCAGTATTTGTTTTATTAGTTTTTTTTAATCAGGATTTTTTTTTTTAATTTTTAAATTAGTATCAGTGTCAGTTAGTATCAGTGTATTTGAAGGCCAGTTCACACTATAGAAATGCAGTCCAGATGCGTTCCGGATGCGTTTCTTCATTTGCGTTTTTAATGTGTTCCGGTGCCTTTTTTTATGCTTTCCAGCTCATTTTCCTCCACTCTCTTTTTCTTCAATTTAAAGT